AGTGTTGAAGACTTGTTTTATATTGTAATAACTCTGTTTTGATTAGATTGAGTCTGTATTATTAGAGTTTGAGATAGCCGGTACATAGTCTACACCTTAGATGCTTCAAAAAGCTCAAATTTATTAAAGAGGCTCGGCTTTAATCGATTATTTGGTGAATTAATCGATTAAAACAGTGAGAAAAACCATTTTCTGTATCTGTTCACTGTTTTAATCGATTAACAGGCCTGTTAATCGATTAACAGGTCTTTTAATCGATTAAAACAAAGAGTTTTGGGGTTCTGTTGATTTTGGCCCTGTAACAATCAATTAACACTTCATTAAATCGATTATTTCAGTCAGATTTTGATTTTTAACTTCAAATCAACCCTATTTTCGAAAACCATATTTCCAAGAACCCTAGTTTCGAAATTCCCAATTCCCAAACCCTAATTTCTCTACTTAAGCTTCTCCATGGCACTCAGAAAGCAAGAACAACCTTTTTCATACAAAAGTTAAGTGTTGTGAGTGCCAGAGAACTATTTGTTGCAAGAAAAAGGGGCTTTTGGAACCTGGTGTGGGCTAGAAGCGATAAGAATCACTAAGTGGAGTTCTTAGTGGATTGTGTGTTGTGCCGTCTCTAGGGAAAGTTGTTCTTCATCTCTTGTGGTTTTCAAGAGAGGTGTTTTCTTTACTTTATATTTTCCATTGTAATTTGTTTGTAACAACTTGATTATAGTGACAGTGTTAATCCTCTGTTTGAGTGATTAGCAACTAGACATAGGGTCTTTTGATCCGAACTAGTATAAATCTCCTGTGTAAGATTTCTTCTCTTCTCTATTTACATTTACACAGTTTTTTAATCGGTAAAATTTGGGGAAAATTTTGAAAACCTAATTTTTGTTAAGAAACCAATTCACCCCCCCTCTTGGTTTTTGTACGACCACGCGAACATTCTGCTGCACGATTCTAACAGTATTTGCTTGATATTATGGTCACCTATAATGAAATTCTTAATACAGAATCTTGTGGTTCTAGATGTAAAATTGACAATACTTACTCAGGTGAATTATGGCATAGGCGCTCAGGTCACAATCTAATCGTGGTGCTTGGGCTTGTGTTACACTCTTAAAGATATGGTAAGGAGTATGATTTGTCATTCCACCTTACCGGAATCACTCTGGGGAGAGACACTAAAGACGGCATCTTATATTCTAAACAGAGTATCAACTGAAGAAGCTACCAAAACACCTTATGAGCTTTGGACTGGGCGATAGCCTAGTCTGAAGCATTTCCATGTGTGGGGTTGTCCAGCTGAGGCAAGGCCTTATAAGCCAAATGAAAAAAAATTGAACTCCCGAACAGTAAGTAGTTATTTTATTGGTTATGCTAAAAGATCCAGGGGATATAAATTTTATGATCTCACATTAAAGACAATTTTTGAGACAGGAACTGCTACGTTGTTTGAGGATATTGAGTTTGGGGGGAAGAGTAAGATTAGGAACTTTGTCTTCGAGGAAGAATCAGTAACAATTCCAGAACCGATTCAAACAGTTACTTTTGATAAAGTAAGTTCAGAACCTCCACAAGACATTGATGATGAACCCTATACTCAAGATGATTTGGTTGTCCGTCAAGAACAAACTCAAGATCCTCAAGAACCTGTGCATCATGAGCCAATAACTTTGCGGAGATCCACTAACAATAGTATGATGGAAGATGACCCAGTTAACCTCCGTCATGCCATGCAAAGTTTGACATGCATGAATGTAAATTCGGGGATACTCTAGTTGCTAAAGGAGACAAGTTTAGTCTCAATCAGTGCCCAAAGGGGAATTTGGAAATAGAGGAAATGCAAAAGATTCTCTATGCATCAGCTATAGGGGCTTTGATGTATGTCCAAGTATGTACGCGTCCAGACATAACATGCATAGTTGGGGTTCTAGGTAGATATTTAAGCAATCCAGGAATGGACCAATGGAAAGCAGCCAAAAAGGGTCATGAGATATTTAAAGAGAACAAAAGATTATATGCTCACATACAGGAGGTCAGACCAGTTAGAGATCGCTGGGTTTTCTAACTCAGACTTTGCAAGATGTCAAGATAGCTTGAAATCCACTTCAGGTTACATTTTCATGTTGGCAGGTGGTGCGGTTTCTTGGTGAAGTGTCAAACAAACCCTTACAGCTTCATCCACTATGACAGCAGAATTTGTAGCATGCTATGAGGCATCAAATCATGGAATATGGCTGAGAAATTTTATCACAAGGCTGCAAATTGTGAAAGGCATTGAAAGATCACTTAAGTTATATTGTAACAACAAATCAACTATATTGTATTTCAACAACGATAAAAGTTCAACTAAGTCAAAGCACATCGACATTAAGTTCCTAGTTGTTAAAGAAAGAGTGCAGAGTGGACAGATTTCCATAGAACAATTAGGGACAACCTCCATGATAACAGATCATCTAACTAAAGGACTTCAACCCAAGGTCTTTCATGAGCATGTTGCTCACATAGGTGTTTTATAGTTTGAGGAATTTGTGGTTTAGTGGGAGTTAGCCATTTTCATATATTTTATGTTCTATATTTAATTTCATGTATGTATACATTAATTTTTTGGATATATTTGGTTATCTATAGATATGCGATTTTTCGTTTATTCATTACACTTTGTACATTAAGGTTATTATATCGAGCTCGATAAGTTAAAGTTTGGACCAGTTATATAGACGTGTACAGATCACCTTCACGTAATTTTTCATGCTACACATTTCATGATGAATCCATGTCATTTGGTTATGTCAGGATTAGTAATCATTATTGGTTTTAGTTGCGACAATGCAATGAAAAACTGGTTTGGTTTTATAGCCTGATATGATCAATGGACGGGACTTTTGGAGTATGCTAAAGGAATATAATGACAATTTTGAGCTCATAAAGTCTAACATATTTGTAAGGTTATAAGGACATATATATTTGTGACCAATGGGAGATTGTTGGCAAATTTTGGGTCATGTATATATATGATACATAATTTAAATGTGTTATGATCATTATTTATTAAGCCAAATAATAAAGTGATTTGAATAAATTAAAATTTTGGCTAAAGTCATGTCATGAAAATAAAATTGTTTAGAGATCATAGAGTAATTTCTAATTTGATGAGAAGTCAAATTAAAAATACTTAAACTTAAGTAATTAACCTAATTCTGGTTATTTAATGGGTCATGGTCCCCTTCTGGGAGCACACACAGAACGTAAGTCTCAGTTCTCGTTCCTTTTTTTCTATCTCCATCAAGAGAGAAAATCCAGAGTGAAAATAAAGGTGTTCTTCAGGTGGAAGACCATAAGATCAATATTGCTCTAAAAGGGACATCATCATTATGGTTAATTCAGGTACACTTTCGCATTCGAGTCTACAACATGTTTATCAGGTATGAGATAATGTTTATGTTTGATAGTTAGAATCAAAATCAGGATCATAATTATTAGTTTACTAACACTTCTAACTATTGATCTCTTCATTAAATACTTTATTAAATATGTGAAAAACGTAGTTCTTTTTATATTAAAAATAATGATAATGTTAATTTTGAATTTTTTTTTACACATAATAGTATTTAAAAGGTAATACAAATAAAATATTGAAAACTTTATTTTATTTCTCTTGATTGATGAATACTATTTAACAAAATTAATTTTATTAATAATTTATGATAAGTGATAATTTATTTTTCACTTAATCTCGTGTACATATAAGTGTTTCACACGTCAACATGGAAAATGAGTTATCAATTGTAAAATATCCACGAACATCACATTATTTTAAAATGCTTGTTAATACATCTAAACATGAAGACGGCATATGGCATATGTTAATCTTTCTAAGATTAATATTCACTACGAGAAGTGTTACACGTTTTTAGAGATTTAAAAGAACATTCATCTAATATATTTTTAAGAGAATGAGTTTCATTTTTATGTATAATGAACCTAAAAAAGAGTAAATCATCAACTATATAAAAATGTTATTGGTATAAATTATAGTTATTTTAATTTGTGATTAAATAACAAATAAAACGGATATTTTAGCATAGACACTACAGAAATTTTCTCAAAATAATGAAAATATAAACTTTTGAAACTTTAATTGAGAAGATTTAAAAGATTTATTCAAAATAGAATATAACTTCAAATTTACAAATATTTCATAGATAAATTGTATCTTAACCACTTTGGAGTATAATAATATAAAAAACTATTGGCAAAGAGCATATATTAATAATAAATTCAAATAGTGTACCTTAATTATAGATTATTATTCCAAATAAGATTGACTATGCAATATACAACGTGATTCAAATTAGTTAATGCAAAGATCTTTCATGCATTATATTGAAACTCTTATAATTCTCCCCAAACCAAAAGTAGTGTTATTCAATGGTACTTAATGGTACTTACAAAAACTATTATTTTTCAATCTATAGGTGTTAATCATACTCAGATAGAAACATGAGTGCTGTCTATGAAAAATCTTGTAACAGGCTTTGGCAATGGAAAAGGATGAAGTATCTGTTTTTTGTAATTGGGAAACAAAAATGGGAGAGGTATGGAAGACCGTTATTTTAGGTAATTGTCTCCCTAACAGCTTCCATTGGTTTTAACAGCAAATGTTTCTTCTATTTTCGGCTAATTGAGTTCCACCTTTCACATTCTCTTTTCTTTCCTTTGCAAACGTGCCACTGAGAGAGAGACACGCTGAGAGAAAGATCTTGGTCTCGTCCCCAACCAAGGTCATGATCTTCCTCCTTCTTCCCACGTTCTAAGTTCCTGACTTTTTCTTTCTTATTCCACACCCACTTTTTATTTTTTTTTTTGTTTGATCTTCAGCAGCATTACAGATTGCACAAACTTGGTTGTTTTTTTTACATTGATCTGCATGCTGTTGGGTTGTTAACAAGGACAAGAGAAAACAAAAAAACAAAAAAAAAAAGCATAAAGGAAAGAAAATTACCAACATGGCTACTCGATCATTTTCTCATTTTGTTGAGCAAGAAATGGGGAAGTTCTCACATTTTGTGATCTATGTGTTGCTTGAATGGGTGCTGATATTCATACTGTTCCTTGATGGGTTTCTTGCATTTGTGGCAAATGAGTATGCAAGATTCTTTGAATTGCATATCCCTTGCTGGCTGTGCACCAGGTTTGATCATGTTATGGTTCACAGAAATCCTGATTTCTATTACAACGAATCTGTGTGTGAGGCTCACAAGAAGGACATGTCGTCTTTGGCATTTTGTCACAACCACAAGAAGCTCTCCGACATAAGGAAGATGTGTGAGGGGTGCCTACTTTCATTTGCAACGGAGAAGGAATCGGATTGTGACACCTACAAGTCCCTTGTGGGGATTTTGCATAAGGATTTGGAGTGCTTTGTTCAGGAAGGCCAACCCATTCAATTGAGTTTGAAGGATGAAGGGTTCATACCGTTTGAGAGAAACAACAATCAAAAGTGTTCATGTTGTGGAGAGCCTTTGAAAATGAAGACTTCCTATGCAAAAGTGAAGCACTCCGCATCATTTTCGCGAGCCCCGAATCCTTCACCGCGAGCTTTCCCATTTTCATCGTTAAAAAGTGATATTCCTCATTCTCTAGAATTGCCTCACATGAGGTACAGAGAACTCAAGTTTACGTCAGATCACGATTCCGAGCTTCAAGAGGATGAGTATGGCTACCATGTTAATAGTCCGAATGTTAAATGTGAGTATATATAAAACTAGATTTTCTTTGGAGTTTGCATTAAATTTGATATGTTAAACGAGTTTCCTGATACCATGCTTATGTAGATAGATTACAACAAAAAAATATATATCTTTCTGACAATATTACAGTTTTTATTGCTCTACATATGCTTTATAAGGACTGGGGAAACACAGTAAAACAATTTCAGCATTTGTCAAAAAACTTTATTGATATTATTTCAATGAATCCCACTTTTAATTAGTTGTGCCTATAGATACTGAACTTATACTAGATCTACTCATGACTGAAAATATGACATCTTCTAATTGGGGTACAAAATAATTTTTTTTTTCCTATACAGTAAGGGAAGACAACAAATCTACCAACATACCTTCTATGTTGTCAGAAGTTGATGATTTGAATGATGAGTCCAGCAAATACACCCCAACTTTTACAAGGGGCAATAAGTTCTTTGGAATCCCACTCACCGATTCTGCAAACAACAGTCCCAGATGGACCTACAAATTTAGCAGGAAATCACCACTGGAGAAGACAGAATTTGCCTCTGACTCTAATGAGGTAACACCCCAAATTGATTTTGAAGATGCAGTCTTAAACAATTTGAAGAGACAAGTTCGTTTGGATCGCAAATCACTCATGGCTTTGTACATGGAGCTAGATGAAGAAAGAAGTGCTTCAGCTATTGCTGCCAACAATGCAATGGCCATGATCACCCGGCTACAGGCTGAAAAGGCAGCGGTGCAAATGGAGGCTTTGCAGTATCAGAGAATGATGGAGGAGCAGGCTGAGTATGATGAAGAAGCCCTGGAAGCAAGTAATGAATTGCTTGTCAAAAGAGAGGAAGAACTAAAAGCTTTAGAAGCTGAATTGGAGATTTATAGGAAACAATATGGATGCTTAGCACAAGGACATGCTTCTAGTAGGGAAACTAACTCTTCTCTTGGTACTAGCTCTTCATTCAGGCTCAATGAAGGTCATGATAATGGAGAAGAAAAGGGCCTCAATTCTAATCAAGCTGTGTCATCTCATACAGAAAATGGAGGGATAAGACGCAATGAATCAATCAAAGACTTTAAAGCAGAGAGAGCATACCGTTTTGGCCGGATGAGGAAAGTAGAAAATAGAATACCCGTTGAAGAAAGTGGAATTAATTCCTTACTTAAAGCCTCTGACACTTTTAATAATTTAGATAATGAGACAGGTAACATAGCAGGCATGCCTTCATGAATAGGTATTATAATTCTGATAATTATTAGAGATAACATTTAGTTTAGTTTAGTTCTCCAAAGTTACATTACCGCATTAGCCCCTTGAAAAATTTGGTTCCTTAAGTTTCTCCCTCAAGGATTTAAACTGTCATTGTGTTAGTTCTTCAAAGATTTTGAACCTGTTTGAACAAACTTCTCCCTAAACACTTACAAGAAAGAAGAATTAAAAGACAATATTAAATGACTTTTTTCATAACTAATTTTAACTTGTGAGAAGTTCATTACATTTATTCTTTCTATTTTGTTTTTCTAAATACTTATGGAGAAGTTTGTCCAAACAGATCCCTTATCACAAATTTCTTCTGCTGACATTATATAGAGAAAACTAATTTGATAACAATTGCAGAAGACTAACATTGTGACATTTTACATCACCACAGGACTAATTTGGTCACTAATTTGAGAAAAAAAGGGTGGTGATACATGTGACTTTAAAGGACTAATCTATGAGGATTTCTCTATTATTGTGGTTATTAACATTCCTCTCAATGCTTGCAATGCAACAGGAAAAGGAGGCGAAGTCTTTCTACCAAAAGAACTGTCTTTTCTTACTGAAAGGGTGAAGGCTCTGGAAGCCAACAGTGGATTCTTAGACCTTGTTTCCAATAAAGATAAGAAAGATAGTGAAGGTACCAAAATTTTGACAGAGATATCACATAATCTAGAGAAACTCAGTCACCTTGTTTTGACCTCCTTTGAGGTAGAGAATGCATGATGCCTACTTTTCTTTTATAGTAACTGGCTCTTTAAGTGTACTGGAGCCAAATGGTCATGCCTAGAATGAAGACAATTGAATTTCATGAGGCTCAGTCTATAGAAAGACAAAAAATGTCTAGCTTGTGGTCAAGATTGGGAGTTATTCTGACACTAAGATCCTGTGCCAAGTGTCAGCTCAAGTGTTGAAAGCATGAATGATTTTCTTTTGCCTCAAGAATGTCTCTGTAAAATATTTAACTTGCTCAAATGTCAAAGACTTATAAACTCAGAGCATGTCTTGTGATAGGATTTTAAGATCCCGATTTCTAGGCTTTTCTAGCTTTACTAGGATCATTTGGACAAACATGTCTAGGGTTTGCTTGTTTTTATGACTACTATTGTCAACCGTTCCTTCATTTTTTTTATTTAGTACGTGTACTCTCTCTCATGGAAGAAATGGAAAATATATATATTCCATGAAAACATTCATAAAAACTCACTAATCAAATTCATTTTCCCAAATCATTCAAATTTCATGAAAACCTTGACTAGTTTTCTTTTCCTACCATCCCCATACTACACTGTTTTCATTTCGTGAAATACTATATAAACCTATTTTCGTTTATGAAACTTGATATATTTCCAGTTCAAAGAGATTTGGTTTAAGTAGGTTCATAAGCGGTTAAGCTTTTCTGATTACTCTAATGGTGTATGTGCGAAACTAGGACTTTACCTCACAAAATTACCAGTTGTAATTAAGAAGATAAAATAGTAGAAAGAAAGAAGTTAAGAAGATCCTACACTGAATTTTTTTTAACCCTTTTTCACAATACTCTTTCTTGATGATTGGCAAGGCTACAACTTAAATAAAAGGAAGAATGAAGAACACTGGCCAACGTATTCCAAAGAAAATAAACAAAAATATCCAATGTCTTACTAAATTGTCTCCGATAATAATGTCAACATTTTCTTTGTCTGTGACTGCATCAGCCATATTTATCACCAATTTTCTGCAACGAAATCGTGACAGCAATTTAAAGTCTTGAAAAAATCTTAAAAATGACAAATGATGATTACCTCAAAGCATGAATTTAGTGAAAATAATAATTTAGTTGTTGTGTTTTAGACACCCTTAATGATCATAACTCAAACGGTAGCCTCGAATCCAAGTAAAAAGGGATTTGTCACTTCTTTCACAGTTTAACATAGAAAAAATTAGATTTTAAGTTGTATTATGATGCATTGATATTTAGTTTAATCTTTTATTACACAAATCATCTAAATAAAATTCTATATTTAACTAAAACAGCGTCTATCAAAAACATTTTAAAATTACAACACAGAACATATATAACGAAGCCTAAAAATATTATTATAAAACAAAACATTTTAATCAGACCGGAAAAAAAAACTAGAAAATCTATTTACATGGTTTTAAAAAATAAATTGGTAGCTTTAACCGGTAACATAAGGTCGCGCATCAAAAGCAAATAAAAGGACACGCAACGAGAACTATGGAGAAATAATATTAATAAATAAAATTTATTTGAATGAAGAATAAAAGCGAGAAAAAAGATGCGAACGCAGATGATGATTGCACAGTGTTGCAGCAGAGCTGCGTGTGGGCAATTGAGGATGAGCACCACCACCACTCCCACCCACGACGATCTGGACGCCATTTTCAAACAAAAGCGCTTACTCCGAACGCAGGTCAGAAAAACCCTCAAGTCCATCCAACCCTCCCTCAGATCTCACCAAGGTATAAATCTGTGTGTCTAAGACAGTGTTTGTTTTTTCGGATTAAAAGTTCTTTCTGTTTATTCAACTTTCACTATTTTCCAGATAATGCAATACAAGATATAGTTCTGGAAGCTCCGTGGTTCAAATCCAGTCGCAGGCTTTGCGCGTACATAAGCTGCGCTGCCCTACGCGAAGTCGACACATTCAAAATCTTGTCACAGATTTTGCAAAATAATACTAATGGGGCTGGTACAATCGTTGAATTAAACGCAATTATATATATTTTCTGTTCATAGGATATGCGTTCTGCACTTCTGAAGCGCTTCCTCTGAACATTGTTGAGTGTGTGCAGGTGGGAAAAAGCTATATGTGCCGCGCGTGGAGGATAAAAATAGTCACATGCGAATGCTCCACATATCTCGAATTGATGATCTGATTGTGAACTCAATGGACATTTTGGAACCTGCTCCGGTTGATGCTGATGGAAATGCGCGTGAAGATGGTACTTCTCTTGCCCTTCTTTGTTTTTTGGTTTTGCTCTTTCAGTAAATAGAGCTAAGTTTTTATACAATAATGTGTGAGTTTGTTGATTTTTGTGGTACGTTGCATGATGGTTTTGTACTTTTTCATCGACTGCTGAATTCATTCTTAGAAATGGATCCCTGTATTCGCCCTTTTATTTGTTGAAACAGTTGGATGAAGATCAAACAGAGTATATTTAGTATTATGTTTTAAGTGAGATATATTGATGTAAAATGAGTCGTCTGATCTTCCAACCATTTTGTTTTTCTGAATGGGTGGTTTCGATCTTCTTGCTGCTTCAACATTTTTTAAAATTGCAATTATGGTTATGGATTGTCTGTGATTTTAAATAGGGGGAATTGCAATCAAATGCGGCTAATTTTGGCCGGACTTTACTTATCTTCCGGTGGAGCTGCACCATGTCCATGGATAAAATCCTTGGTGTAGCCTTAACTGGGGGAATTTGTTAAAATATTGTGGTTTAGCTTCATAGGGTATATAGAAACGATCTGCTTAACTTTTGGACTGAAGTTTCAAATGCCACTATTATCAGGCCATACCCTATAACAGTACGTGAGAATAGGTTTTGGGCACTTATCTACTTATCCTCCTTTTGATGTTAAATTTTGACAGACATCTGGTTTTTCTTGGGTCAATGTGAACAGTGTCTTCTTGACATAAATTTATATTTTGTTTTGCATATTCTTATTGAGGTTTCTTCAGTTAAAAAGATGTGAGCGCTTTTGATTTTTTGTTTTTTTTTTTTAATGCAAAAACATGTAAAGCTTCACAATGACATAACTTTTACAAAGCCGCTTCCACTGGACTGGATAAAAGTTATGTGCATCCTTCTTTTCCTTATGTTGGCTACTTTTTTTTCATTTAATTTTATTTTTCTGATTCTTGTAGGGTTGACTTTCATTTGATGTATTTTCTTGTAATCCTGATTGGCAATAATATCAACAACCATTTGAAAGATCTTTTTGGTACAGTTATGCAGGCAAATAATCCAGTTGACTTGTTCCTTTTACCAGGTGGTTTCTCATTTCACAACTGTTATGGTTTTAGTTTGAATCTAGCTGATCATTTTCTATTATTTTTCTTCTCAGGACTTGCATTTGACAGAGCTGGAAGACGTTTAGGTCGTGGGGGAGGGTATGGTTTTTATATTTATTTCTTCTGCCTAAACTAAAGAGTTGAAATTTGTCTCATTCTATAAATTCAGAATTCGAAGTTGTACTAAATTTTTTTTAACTAAATTAATAATTCTGTCCTGTCTTACGTTACTAACCATTGCCAAAACTCTGTTTTTTAGAGGGTGACTAGTTCACAAACTCTTATGCTTCACTTATTAAATCCTAAATTATACTATTTTAACACAAATTGATATAAAATCATTGTTCAAGTTTGTTACAGTTAATATTCACCTTCTGCAGTTACTATGATACCTTCCTGAAGAATTACCAAGACTTGGCAAAGACGCGGAATTGGAAGCAACCCTTGCTTGGTATGCAGTTCTTCCTTGTATAATACATAATTTTGGTTGAACCAAACCTCCAAAAATGTGTCATATGATCTACTAATTTGGCTTTGATTTGCAGTTGCACTGTCATATTCTGAACAAATACTGGATGAAGGACTAATACCAATTACTTCGGCTGATCTTCCGGTTGATGCTCTTGTATCTCCTGAAGGTGTGATTCACATCAGTACAGCTGCCTTAAACAGGTATCACTGAACTCAACAAACTCAATTACTTTGGGAATTTGTTAACAATTGGCCTTAGGATCCAAGTTAAGGAATTATTATATAAAGGTAAAAAGAGCAATCCAGTGCACTCGTGGGATCTAAGGAAGGTAGATGGATAAAGCCTTACCAAGTTACCAGGCATGGCAGAGAGACTGGTGTCTAGATTTGAACTTGTGATCTCCAAGTCAGATAGGCAGCAATCTTACTAACATACCAAGTCTCACCCCCTAGTCATTAAAGCATTTAGTATCTTGTAAATCCAGAAAGTCTTCAATGTTTTCTTCTTCTCTAAGCTATCACGAGGATTTGTTTATTATGTGATATTGTTAATGGAGAGTATTAAATATTTCTTCAACAATGCCCTAAGAGCATTGGTTAACAGCTCCATTCATTTTTTGCTATGTTGAATTCGGCCAAATTTATTCACTTTAACCTGTGAACAATTCCAGAATGGATCTCTGAAACAGTGACACTGGACTTCATAGCTGATCCGGAACATTTTCAACACTGCATCTTCAATAAATTTTTGTGGTTCCTGAAGTTGAAGGCATCACAGGATTTGGATCTGGGGTTTTGTAGAAGTAGAGTTTAACCAATTCATCGAGTGATATTGAATGATTTCATCCATCCTTGACCGATGGGAAGTTTCACTACTCTATTCATCTCAAATTCAGAATGCTTTAATGTTTGAACTGTGAAGTTTGAAGTTTACATTCCTAAAGCACATGTGTTTCAGCAAGAATGGCTATACTTTAACTTGTACGTTTAATTTAAAAGACACTTTAGTGCTTACTGGGATCGAGAATACGTTTCCTAATGGGAACAAGGAGTCAAATGCCATTTCAGAGCAAGATGTGTGAAAAAATGGAACCATTTCCTAGGTGTAATGTCTACTTTGTTAAGAGTGTGTTTGGATGAGTGTTAGGTAAAATTGGTTTTGGATCGAAGTGGTTTAATAAAACACTATAAAAAAATTTATCCAATGTAGAAGTTACATACAGTTTTTTCAACTCAGAATCTATTCTAGATACAACATTCCTCAACATAAAATTAAACATGGGAAAATCATTAAAACCACGTAAATTGATATTTCAACATGATTTTTGACATTACAGTATAAATTTTATCATGCACTAAGAGTTAACATAAATCACTTCACACCTTGTTGCAAGTTCTAACTGGCATGTAACGTTAATAGATTCATGAAATATAATTACTAGTTTGGATCAACTTAAAAAAAAATACAAAAATTTAACCAATCAATTTTATCAGTTTGGATTTTTCATTTTCTTTTCACAATCTAAATCACAAAAAGCTAGTTAAGAAAAAGTTGTTTTTGTTTGAATTTATGCTATGCATAATCCTGTCATTAAGATTATAATAAAAATTATGTCATTCCAAATATATTAAATAACATTTTATTATTTGTGACTTACCTGCATAAACTAAATAATAAAAGTTCTTAAAAAAGTATATATATATATATATATATATATATATATATATATATATATATAATCCATGCATAATAATAGTATAATTATAACAGAAAATTTGCATTATTTTTCTGATTGTAATTTATTAGATTTATAAATTACAATTTAATACTCAAATCAATATCAGTTTCGTCTTAATACTCAAATACAATACTCAATTTTTAGCTTATATTCTCAGAATAATTCGATTGATTGAAACTAATGAAGATACCTACACCTGCATACTATGGTCTTATGTTGCTCGATTGATTCCTGAAAAGGGGAGTTCATAATTACAATATGACAGTGGAGTCCCTTTTTCATGCATATCTGGAAAAATGGTATAGTCTGTATGTTTGGTAACCCATCAATTACGTGCATTTATATGGTAAACTGTGTATAGAGTTAATAATTGTATTTTATGCTAAAATATACTTAAAATTTAGTATGTTAACACTTTATATGAACAACAATTTAGAATTTAGTAAAAGACTAGAAATTTAAGAGTGTGATCTAATTCTGAATAGTTATTTTTGGATTGAATTGGATACATGATAATATTGTGGTAAATACACTTAATTATTTTCATTGATATCCCTAATTATAGAAAAAAAAACCTCGTTGCTATAATTTTTTTTTGAAGAAGACAATATTTAGAAAGTTTAGATATGTTGACAATATTATAGATAGAAACCAATTTATTATTTAAGATTGACAAGGACCAGAAATTTCATCTCTGATTCCGAATATTGTATCCATCCTACTCAATTTAATTTATTTGGAGATAAAATAATTTTGGGGTACATTTATTAGAGAGAAAAGAAACTCAATATTTCTTTATTTTATAATTTTTTATTTATTTGTATACGTAATTGTATTCACAATTATATATTAAGGGAGCTAAAATGATTTTGTAGCTCTAACTCTTTTGAAGAGGACAAAAACACTTAAAAGTTTTGTATTATCTTGACATTATCATAGATAGACAACAATAAGAATGAAAAGGACCAGATACCTTCTCAGAGTGTGACCTAATTCTGAATATATATTCATATCCATCTTACTTCAATTTGTTATAAAATAGCATAATTCTATATTGCATGTGTGAGCTAGAAACTCTTTTTTATTCTGAGAAAATTTTAACTTATATTAATGGAAAAAATTTGGTTTTGCTTTTGTAAAAAAATTGAAAAGGAAAAAAAGTTAAAATGTCTAGATTATGTTGACTCTTCTATAGATAGACTACAATATAGAATTTAAGATTGAAAAATGTCACATTTATGTGTTCGGTCTAATTGAGTATCAGACTAAAGTTATTTTGACATTGGACCTCCTTTTCACTGATATCTCTCATTTTATTCTCAATTCTATATTAATGGGAGAAAAAAAAATGATTTGATTGTTGCAAAAAAAATGAAAAATCTAGACTATATTGACCCTACTATGGATGAACAACCGTTTAAAAATTGGAAAAGACCATATATTTCAGAATGTGGCCTAAATTTGTATCAGATCAATTATTTTGAGATCAAACCAGAGTTATATTGAAATATAATGCTTCCAACTCAACTATACACTTGATAGTAAAGAAAAGAAAATGCTTTTTATCCTCTGAACATTTTCACTGATATCTCTCATTGTATGGTCAATTCTACTTTAAAGGAAAGAATCTGATTTATTTTCTTTAAAAAGAGAGACTCCAACCCTATGACTGGGTAGAAATCAAGAACACAAAGAAAAAAAAAAATGAAATTTTATTGAAGAGAAGGGAGAGGAAACATTTGAATCCAAATCCACTCAGAACAAGAACATGCTACAACATCAAAAGTGGTTTTCTAATTAGTTACAATTAAACTCTTATTATAAACAATCTGCAATAATGGGTTTGTAAGTTACTGCCATCAAACAACACACTAACGTTCTCTTAATCTGTTCCTGTTAATATCTCCAATTTTCAAACTCAAACATATGTCATCATTCAAAATACACAAATGCATACCTCCAATATATATATCGTTATACAAATCAAATGAGGAGGTTGGAATCCTATCACAGAAGGGACTAAAAACCATAACCACACTAAGATTGTTTTCTAGTTGCTAATTGCTAATATAGTTCACATGTGATTTAGATGCATTTTCTATAAATTACATCATTCTATAACAATGGAAATGCAAGCCTACAACATTCGGGAACAGTTGACTAGGTTGTTAATAAGCACACTATGTAAGCAAACCACTAAGTTTTGTTTTTTAATAGAAAATCAAACCTATCAATTGATCTCTCATTCCCAATTATACTTCTCTTAATCATGTTGTTCCCTCAAACCACCACCGATCTGCATATGCAGCCATCCAAGATGTGATCCCTGAGCATACCCCCTTGCTGCTTGTGATCCAAAAACCATTCCTGCAATGTCGAATCGTTGAGTACCACCATCCTGAAACAATTTATTCACTGATCAAGACCATGATGTTGTGGGAACAAACAGTCCCACTGCAACTACATTCATTAGGAAAAATGTTTTAGGCCTTACTAATTTGGTATAGATACAAACCGAGACACAAGAAAATAAAGTTCCAATACTGGGAGTCATATTCACTGAGAATTGTTTTGGACTAGTGCGTGTGTAATTTGGTTATATGGTGGATTCAAGTGACTACACCTCTTAAGACGTGTATAGGTACCATTTCCAAGATTTTGGACCTCCACAACTACAATATGATCTTACTTTAACTGTTTGAAGCTTCTTTGAGAATATTACAAGCATTTTTCAATGTTATGAACATTAATTTAGATCATCTCCTATTTTGGATTCATTAGCTCATGATGTATCGATATTAAGTGCCTGACAGAATGAATGAAGTTTGAAGACACATTACAACCATAATTAGAATACGAAGTTGAAATCAAACATCTCTAGTTTCCACTACTTTTGACTCATGATCATGCTTGCTACACCTATAGATAACTACAATTATGATTCATAAAATCAAAATGAAAAGTAGGATCGAACTCTGTATAAGTGGAAATTAAGGGCACATTCCCTCTAAAGGTGTTCAAATCAAATTTATAATAGGGTTAAATTGCCCAGACAAGGCATTGGGGCAACATTCTTCTGCCGTATTACAATAGCCAAGACAAAGCATGAGGGTAACTTTCTTCTGCAGTGTTCCAAAATCTGACAGCAACCAACACATACAATTTCGCATAATGTTTAAATCTTATGCAAGTGGAAATGAATTGATAATTAGAAGTCAATATGATCAACATCAAAGTGATAGACTTACATCTTTTAAAGGAAATCCATCTATGCTAGGGTTCATGTTCATCCTTGAATTAACTGCTTCGAGCTTCATAGAAAGGAACTACAAAACTCAATTGTTTGGAATACAGAATTAGATAGGACGTTAAAAGGAAAACATCATCGAGTGAAAATACTAAAAAGTGATAGAAAGATGAAGATATCCACCTCAACCTGACGCTGCAGCGACTGGATGTAATTGATTATCTCATCTAGGACAAGGGCTTTACCAGTTACCTAAACATTAAGAAACAAAAACAATGGTGAAGGAAAAATAGAAGCAATAATCTTGTGATGCTCCAACAGAATATTATGATTACCTTGTTACACCCAGGAACCAAATCCTGAAGAATTTTCATTCTCTCACTGATTTTTTCTCTTCTTGCCTGCAAAAATAGGTGTTGTTAAGAGTCATGCCTGCGAACAAATAGTCAATAGAACCAAAATGAAAGAAGAAAAAGAAAAGTTTAAAAGTTTTAATACTTTTCCTTCGTTTCTAGATCAAGTAAAAATGTCCAATAGCAAGCAAAATTTGCAGAAGACAAGAAATAAAAAGAGAGAATGGAGTTACTCTTTCTGCTAGACTGTGGCTATCAGTAGCTTGGCCCCTTCTTGCTCTCACATGAATGTAGTCTTGCTTAGGTGCCTCACAAGGTATAGTGCTTTGTTCACTTGACTTGTTACCACCCACAGAACTCGTTTCTCCTTCACCTTTCAAACTATCACTCTCAACGCTGGACCCTCCCAACTTCATCCTTTTATTGCAACCAGAATCATTCTGTTCAAATTTTCCACACAATGCATCCATCAGAACCCAGGTTGGAAAGAAAATACGAATAACCAAAAGAAAAAAACAAAGACAGAAAAATCAACTTTTAAAATGAAAACTTCAAACTTTTCTTTCCTTCAAATTTTCCCTTCGCTTTAAATTTCAAATTCAAACCTCCTTCGTTTTTTTTTCCTCTGAAGCAAACCGGGGGCAAATATTATAAAAAATCAAATTCACCAAAAACACTAAACATATACAAACTGAACCCTACAGTTTACAACACCACTCACTCAAACAGTTCATACAACATGAAATAGTGAATCTTTTACGGAAACACCGCACAAGTCAGGTCCAATTGGCAAATTCCAAACATTCGGGAATTGCAAAAAACCTCAAAGCATTGAACTTCAATTGACGAATTAGACTCTCGTAAAAAAAAGCATCTGAACCGAAATTGACGCGCACAACGAGCGAATCAAAAGCAGGAGCAGAAGACAGTAGCAAGCAACACCCTTACCGAATACCAAAATAAAAACTTGGGAACTAATTTAAATTCTAATTAATCAAAACAAAATAATTTGGCAGCGGCAGTGGTAGGGAGGACCTTGGAGCAGTGGTCGTCGTCGTCGTCGGTGACGGCATCCTTCCTCTTGCAGGAGGCGGTGGCGAGGTGGGTGAAGGCGGATTGATCGGCGGAGGCGGGGGGGAAAGGGGGGCTTCCGAGCCAAATGTCGGCGAGGGTGTAAGCAGGCGAGAATGTGGAGTCAGTGATGAGAGGAGGATCCATGGGAAGGAGAGAGTTTCATAGAATTGAATTGGAAATGGAGAAAAGGGTGTGAAGAAATGAATGAGTGGTGAGTGAAGAGTGAGGTGGATTTATTAAATTGTAATAAGGAGGGAGGAAGAAGGTCTCCGTTAATGGATGAGCGTGACAGTAAGAGAGAGAAAACCACCCACTCACACTCACCAGAACAACACCAACATCTCCATCCACCCATCATCTCCTCCATCATATTCTACTTCCTTTCTTTTTCACCCTCTTCTCACTTACCTCTTCCCCCATCAAAATCACCATTTTACTCCCTCGTTACTTCAATTTACTTTGCCATACAACACAAATACAAAATTAAAAAAAAAATTACAAATTTGCAGAATTTAACATTGAAAAAGACCACATATTACATAGTATTGTCCAACTCTGAGTTATTGTATCTTCCATAATTAATTAAATATGTCAGAAGACAGATAATTCTGTGATATATTTATTAGATGAAACAAAGTTAATGTTGATTTATATCTCTTGTTCATAGTTTCTATATTAATGAAACAAATATTAGATGCAAACTCTTTGACCTTAAACTTGTCAATGGTGACTAGAGGAGAGGGTTTTCATAATCTTCAGATCCCGAATATCTCTCTCCATGTCATTTTTAATTGGCCTTGTCGTAAATCTCAAACTTGTGATCCTTTTCATTTCACTACTTTTCTTCTTTACTCACATTTCAATATATCTGCTTCCTTCACTGCTCTCTAAAATCATCTTTAATTATAAAAATTTGTAAAACTGGTATTTCGATCAGTTTAAATTAACCACAAATTCAGTCCTTAAAATTCTAACAATTTTCAAGTTGATATTTGAAATTAACATAATAATAGACTAATTTATCTTTTAAAATTGTATAATTATCCGTTAAATAAACATAATTATATAGGTCGATTCTTAAAATCACTGACCAATCGGCCTTGCCAGTTTCTGGAACAGAACTACAAATGCTTCTAAATAACTAGGAAAAGTCGAAATAAAATCCGTAAAATTGAAAACACCTTTTGAGTTTTTGGGTCTAATGGTTTTAAGTAAAAAAAAATATATTTATTGAAAACCTTTTTAATATAATTTTTTATAAAAGATATAATATATTTTAATTTTTTTTATTTTATATTAATTACGTGAACTTAAAATAATAATTATTTTATTATATTTTTATCTTATTTAATAATTATTCATTTTTATTTCCTAATATATTTTATACTTATAATCTTTATATTTTTAATAAAAAATTATTACTAATAAATTTATTATACATTTATTATGTAATAAAAATACTATTTTATTAAATTGTGGTATCAATTGAATTTTAGTTTAATTTTTAAATCTTAACATATATTTACTAGTTCCATAATTGGTTTGATTTTAAAAATATTGTTTAAAATATAAAATTATTAATCTATTCAGTCTTTAAAATTATAGTAATTAGATAAATTTGTTACTAATTATAAAGACTTACTTACATTTAATTAAGCCTTTCTCATTAATGTACTAGTCAAATATAAACATATAAGAGTGTAATTAAATTTTTATAATTAGAAACCAATTCATTTTGTTATTATGCAATTTTAAGAACCATATTCATTGATAATTTATGATTTTAATGATCTCATTTGTTTTAGTGACATTATATAATTGTCTATTACAACCATCTTTGGACTAAATAGATTGATGATTTGTCTAAAGAATTATTCTATTATTTTGCTAAGTAGGAGTATTACAATTTCAAACACAAATTTACTCTAAGTATATTTCTTAGCAAGAACTCACATATTAATATTAAAGGCTTCAATGATATTCATTGGGGTGGTTGCTAGAGATTGTTAGGGAAAGCCTTAAATCAAAATAAATGGATTTATTGCTCCCTCTCAGTCATAACAAGATCACTGCCATTTTTACTAAGACATTGTTACCTCATATCTTCACATATTTTCTTCATAAGCTGGGGAATGCAAACATTTTTTGTCCTTCTATAACTTGGGGAAGCAAGTTAACTATATTAAAGTTTCACAAATATACCATGTTTTATAATTAATTCAAAACTTATGAGACCGAAGAAAATACCATATATTTTTATTAACTGGTTCTAAAACGTAAAATGTGTATTACTTCATTCTAAGTATTTCTAAATGTCTATCATTGACTAATATATTAATTTGATTAATACATTATATGTTTAACATTCAATCCACATAGTTACACACTCTAATATTTGTTAAATAAATACATTTTAACATTTGATTACTAAGTTAGAGAATTTAATGTGATCAAATAAAAATTAATTTTATGTGGAATATTATTATATCATCTAGTATAACTAAAAATTAAATATTTAGAAATTTTAAGTGAGAGAAAATATTCATTAAGATTTTATTGAAATCATTAAATAAGATTTGTTCAAAACATTATATATATATATATATATATATATATATATATATATATATATATATATACTACAAGAAAAACCGACATGCGACCGATTTAATTCGGTCACAATTAGCAACCGATTTAGCGACCGATTTAGCCACCGAAATATAATTTGGCTTCACATTTTTTAGTTAGCGACCGAAATAACGACCAATAGTTTGCGTCGCAAAATTTCGGTCGTTAAATCGGTGACTATTCCACACTAAAATAAAAAAAATCATTTAACGACTGATTTAGCGACCGAATTACAAATTGAAATAGTGACCGAATTAAAATCGGTCAGCTAATGAGAAAATAGCGACCTAATTGAAATCGGTCACTAATGAACATTATTTTTTTATTATATATAAATTTATTTTTTTATAAATATACTTTAATTGTTTTAGTATATTTTTTACATTTTATTTTTTAAAAGTAATTTATTTTTTAAAAATAATTTAATTTTTAAAATATACTTTAAAAATAAACTTTGTTCTCAATATTAACAAAATGAAGATTAACTTTAATTTTAAATTACTAAAATAAAAATATTATTAAAAATAAATCAAATTTATTAAAAATTTAAATTATAATAAATTAAGACTAGAGTAATATTAACTATTCAATACATTGTTTAAGAAAAGTTTAATAATAAATATTCTTTAATTTATTTTTCAATTGAAATTTTCAATTGAAATTAAATTATATTTTAAAAATTCATATTAAAAAAATTAAATACATCAAATTATCACATTTTAATTCCTCATTAACTTAATTAATTAAAAAAATAAAATTTTAATCAAATTATTACAATTTTATTTTATAAAACTTTATTTTTAATCTAATTTTTAAATTTATTGCTTTATTATTATTAATTACTTAACCATGGTTATTTTCATATAATTGATATACAAAAAAATTATATCAATATACATTAGATAATAAATATATTATTTAATTAAATTATTTATAAAAATATATTTATGTTTAGTTAAAATATTTTTTAGTTTAAGTATACTAATTAATATTTTTTCATTTTTAACATAATTAATAACAAAGATTAAAAATAGACTGCTAGAAAAGTTAAAAATTTAAAACTAATCTATTTTATAAATACTAACAATGAACCATATTTAAATAAATTAAAAATATATTTAAATTTATATTCAACCTACCTTCAATTTTACTCAATAAATTCATAGATCACATTTGAAAACTTCATCACTTAAAAAACTTCAAAATTATTAACTTTTTTTTTCAAAGCCAAGTTTTTCTTGTCAGTTTTTTCAAAAAAACAGTTAATATAAGTTAAGGTTGTGCCTTTTAAAAATTTCAATTTTTTTATATATTGGATTTTCATTAAAAAATTTTTAAAATTACATAAGAAAATAGAGATTTAATTATACTTTTAATAAATTTAAGATAATAATAGTTTTTATTTTTATTTTTAAATATTTATTTTAATTTTTTAAAACAGAGAAACTATAATTTTAGTTTCTAAATACTAAATTTAAAGAATTAAATTTATTATTATTTAATCTTTTAATTTTAGTATTAAAAATTTAAATTATATTTTATTAAATTAAAATAATTAGAATATATTTTTGTACTTTGAGAATTAAAAATATAATTAAACTAAAACTGAAAATATTATAATACATTTTTTGAACTCTTTTGGATTAATTTTTTTCCTAATTTTTTATAAAGTCAATTTTAATATTTAAAAGTATTTAACATTTTGAATTCTGAAACGTTTTCTCTATTAGCAAATTTAAAAACATAATATACTAAAAAAGTATTATACATAATTATTTCATCTAATTTTTTAATAATATGATAAGTCATCAAATTCGTATATAAAACAAATTTAAGAATAGATTAAAATAGATCAAAATTTATAAGAGACTATTTATTTTTATTTATGATGGATCAAAAGTGGAAATACATTTAAATTTATAATTTTATTTATGAAACACATTTAAATTTATAATTAACGAAAATAATGAAAATCTTAATATAATATGATACTTTTAGTAATGTATTTTTTTTATAAATTTAAACTTACTTTTTTTAGTTTATTTTTAAAATTTTATGTATTATTATTGTTAATTGATATACCAGAATAAATTTATATAAAAATAGTTTTTATCTTCAAAATTCATTTCTTCAAATTCAATTTTTATATTTTTCTAATGTTTCTTTATAGTTAATAAGGTCAAAATATTACATCAAAAATAAGGTCAAAATTTATATTCTTCAAAGTCAATTTTAATATTATATCATTCAAAATATTACAAAAACATAAGAAAAAAAATACATTTCAAAAATATAATTTTACATCAAAATATTATTTCATCTTATATACATATAATTTTTAAGAATTTTATTATCCTCCTAATTTATTATTAATTTCTTAAAAATATATTACAATATCAAATAAATAAATAAATTAAAAATTAACCATACAAATAATATAAATATAATATTTAATAATATATTTTAAAAATATTATTGTACTACGTTCAACCATAAATCTAAATATATTATTAATT